CGGAAAAACACATAAAACCCAATTAAAAACAATTAGAGAAAAAAATAGATTTTTCCTAGTTACAAGGGACTACTGCACCAAATGTGCTTATACACAAATAAATTTTTATTTTGAAAACTTACCAAGCTACAAAGCTGAAATTTGGCACACATATGCACCTGGGCCCCCTACGCATGTGGAAAAAAACAGAACAGAGAAATCTCCCATAGGGAAAAAGTTAGCCCCGGAAAAGTTGCCGATATTCGGCTCTTATAGGCCATATGCACGGAAAACGTACAATAGCTAACTCGGCCAAATAAACCGATTTGGCCCATGTTTTGGGTTTTTCCTACTAATTCGACCCCAGGGAGTCGGAAAAACACATAAAACCCAATTAAAAACAATTAGAGAAAAAAATAGATTTTTCCTAGTTACAAGGGACTACTGCACCAAATGTGCTTATACACAAATAAATTTTTATTTTGAAAACTTACCAAGCTACAAAGCTGAAATTTGGCACACATATGCACCTGGGCCCCCTACGCATGTGGAAAAAAACAGAACAGAGAAATCTCCCATAGGGAAAAAGTTAGCCCCGGAAAAGTTGCCGATATTCGGCTCTTATAGGCCATATGCACGGAAAACGTACAATAGCTAACTTGGCCAAATAAACCGATTTGGCCCATGTTTTGGGTTTTTCCTACTAATTCGACCCCAGGGAGTCGGAAAAACACATAAAACCCAATTAAAAACAATTAGAGAAAAAAATAGATTTTTCCTAGTTACAAGGGACTACTGCACCAAATGTGCTTATACACAAATAAATTTTTATTTTGAAAACTTACCAAGCTACAAAGCTGAAATTTGGCACACATATGCACCTGGGCCCCCTACGCATGTGGAAAAAAACAGAACAGAGAAATCTCCCATAGGGAAAAAGTTAGCCCCGGAAAAGTTGCCGATATTCGGCTCTTATAGGCCATATGCACGGAAAACGTACAATAGCTAACTTGGCCAAATAAACCGATTTGGCCCATGTTTTGGGTTTTTCCTACTAATTCGACCCCAGGGAGTCGGAAAAACACATAAAACCCAATTAAAAACAATTAGAGAAAAAAATAGATTTTTCCTAGTTACAAGGGACTACTGCACCAAATGTGCTTATACACAAATAAATTTTTATTGATTGTATACGAATGTAGTCCGTGCTGCTATTTTTAGAAAACCTTCTTCTCCTCTCCTTTAGAGGTTTTATGTATGCCTATTTTGACTTATTTTTGGAGTAGATTTGGAATAATCTCAGTAAGTTGCATTTTTTTCAGTTTTTGTGAATTGACGAAAGATTTACATGCGGCAGGATATTTCTAAAAAGTAACAGTCAAGCGGATGTTGATAAAATGTAGGGTCTACTTTTAGTTTGAATTTTTTTTTGTCCCGAAACTAAGTGTTGTAAAGGATCACATGTGACATATTGGAAATTTTCAGCTAGATTTCTGGATAGAGATATAGAAGGTTGAATTTCGACATTTAAGATGGAAACAGATTGAAAAATAATGTCTACTTGGGTCGGTCCTGATAATTGATACATTTCTGTTGAAGAGTTATCTTTTCTTTTTCTAATTACAAGATTATGGCGGAAGATAAAAACAATGAAAGTGGACTAGAAATATAAATCATAAACTATATTAATGACATTTTAAAACTACCAATTCTAAAAGAAACAGGGAACATTTTCCAGGTATTGTATGTTGTTTGTTGAATCTTCCAGCAATCCACAGCCGTTCATTGTGACTGTGCCCCCACTTGTCCACACTCCCAGTCCCACGCTACAGTGAACTCAGAATTAAATATTCATTTGCATGCTATTTTACTTAAAATGTCTTCGGATTCTTGGATATAAAGGATTTAAAATTTTCATTTCAATACCCTGTGAAAATGACCCGCATTTGTGAATCAAATCAAATTGTATAAGCTTTTTTGTGGATAATTTTAGAAATGTCATAGCCTAATGCAACCATCATTCTGAAGTCTATATAACTTAAACATTTTGAATTGCAATAGAATTGTTAAGAAATTTAAATGATAATACTAGAAGCTTATTTACTGAAAGCTGGTTTTTGTTTTAGAAATCAGAGAATAGTATCAACTCATATGGATAATTTACGAAGTTCTATCCAGAAGGCTGCGTCTGCCTCACAGGCTGCTATGTTGATTAAAGAAGAGACCATTTTAGTAGTTGACTGGAAGAATTATGTGCGATCTGAGTATAATATACTTTTCATATTATGAAACTTTGTTCTATATGAAGAAACAAAAATGCAGAAGAAGTTAAAGTGATACTACGTCTTAGAATGAACATAAAACTTAAGTTCTCAACTCGAAATGGTAAATATGAGAATATATATTCATCAGTTGGCTTACCTAGTGTCATAAAGTTACGACAGATTTCCTGTAAAATCTAGAAAATTGGAAAATTCATAAAACTAAGTAATTATTGAAGAAAGCTTTATCTTAATATTAAGAGTTTTTCAATAGTTAATTGCATATTTATGGATAATTACTAAGTTTTTTGGATTTATCAGATTATATAAGGATCCTGTTATGTTATTTATGACACCAGGTATATCTACGTTGGAAATTTGATGACCATTTGATGGTTACTGTAATGCAGATGATCGAGTGGAAAGGTTAATTTGACGAATGTCTAAGAGTACTGTTGTTGTTAACTGAAGTGGCCTTTTTAAAAAATATAAACTTAATAATTTTTGACTGACTGACTGACTGACTGACTGATAATAAAAATGATATCCATATAAGAGAAAATTTAATGCAGTGGTGTAACCTATTTTCGTGCATATAAGGATTCAAATTCGAATTTCATCAAAGTTAAAAAAACCGAAAAAAAAATTTTTATGTCTTAGATGTTTCCTCAGATATTCTACAAAATAATTAAAATTAGTTTGTTTCGATTTTCTTTATGAATTCCTCACTTTGACCCATATTTCATGAGTAAAAAAATGCTTCACCTATTTGTGTGTACAATGATTGATCTATAAATAAGTCAAAAAAATATTGTGGAATTCGTATTACAGCTTTTGATTATAAAGAAAATTCGGCCGATACAAGTTCACGCAAAATCGCACATGTAAATTATTAATCATTTCCGGATATTTGGGATCTACATTAGTTTGAAAGAAGAGTGAAAATCTGAGCTATTGAAAAAAAACTATTGTAAGTTAATGAATTTAAAGTTATACAACCCTTTTGAATGCACATAAAATTTAATTTTTCCAAAATTTTATGTTTGTTCTGTTCAGAGGTAGTATTGATTTTTTATACCCACTATACCAACCAAAAAATATAACTGCCAAACTGTATGTTAATGAAATAATCAAAATGATGATTTGTTTCAGGAGGAAGTATTATCGTTATGAGACCTTAATTCACTTCACTTTACATGAACAATTAGAAAATCACAGGAAGTATGTTGAATCTTTGCCACCAAACCAGTCTATACGTGTTAGAGAATCCTTCAGTAGTATACCAGTAACAAGAAAGGTGTGTTTCTGAAAAATTGGGTATTGCCGATCATGAGAAAAGGGCTATAAACGATACATATCACAATAAGGAGTAATTAACAAGTAGGAACATTGTATCTCCAAAGTATCATATACCGGTAATGGCAACATTATATTAAGTTTTATTGATAGGATTACTGCAGCTGTCATGTTAAGGTCACAAAGGAGACCTCAAAAAAACTTTAATGAAATTTCCTTGAGATGAGATGAGATGTGATGTGATATGATGTGATTTATTATAATTTTTCCAGTGTGAGGTGATAAATAAGATGAATTTTCCCGACCAAACAGTTCCATTACGTGTTATGAATGCCTTAAAAATGATACCAACCATGTACTGCTGAGCTCCTTTGACACAGAATTTCATGGTAAGATTGGTAACTTTTAGATAACTTTTTATTTCCCCTGCAATACATTTAAAGTTCTGAAATTCTCTTTTTTGCCTCTATAAATGGGCTTTTGCGAATTGAATTCTATTTATTTATTTATTTCCTATTTTCAGGTAGAAGATGAAAAAGTACTTCACAACATACCATATGAGGGTAATGACAATCTGGATGAAGACTGTTCTTTTATTGAAGATTTGTGAAAGAATTATAAAGGGAATGCTATATATATTGAACTCGTTAACAATCTACATGCTAATTACCCTGATATTGATGACAATGGCTTTAAAATTATTGGTAAGTTGTGAGTTAAATTATCCTGAAACTTATTAGGCCAGTTTTGTTATGATCTTATGTCCAAAACATGTGTTGGCATACAATTTAAATCATGTAGTATAGTAGAAAGCTTCTAGGTCAAGTCCTAATGAGGTTTTTATATCAGAACCTGTTTCGACAGCTCTTGTCAAGATTATTTATTTGTTTTGTAGAATATTGTCATAAAATGCTTGGTCCTGTTGAGTGAGTTGACCTATATACATTTCATAAACAAGCAGTCTGTTTGGAAATTTAATCAGAAAGGTGTTTCCACAGCTTAGGATAAACTTTGAAGATTTGAATCAAGTGGTTTTTGTTTTATAGAAATTTGTTTCCATCTCTTGGTCAGTGAGTTTGCTTACATTGCTCATGTCTGGGTCCTTTATTGGAAAGATACTCCCATTTCCAGCTGTCATATTAAGGATTATATATCAAAAATGTTGGCAGGATGGGATCTAAATCTAAATCTAATCGTGAATGAAATAACAAAATCAAAAACAAAAATACAAAAATTAGATCTAAGCTTAAATGGAAAAATTAAACTTTTTAGATGATGATGATTATAAAAGCTGATCCAAACCTACAGCAGTACGTGATATCATACTTAAGCAAAAGGAAACCCTGAAGAATTAAAGGAAAAGTAAGTTGAATCTGGATATTATTAGTACTAAACCTAGAAAAAAGTTATTCCATTTGAAGCTCGCGGTTTCAAATATATCTGGATACTTAGTCCACTTACCCTACCACCAGAATGTACGCCAAACATTGATGGACCAGGAGCAAAATCAGTACCTCGTGAAGAAACCATGCATTCCCTGTTCTGTCGACGCTGTTTTAAATATGACTGCTTTCTTCATCGTAAGTCCTACTTTATTATTTGTGGTTTCAATCCTTTGTTACTTGGTTACTTTCTGTCAGTGATGTATGTCAAAATGTATGTAATAATGTTATTTGGTAATTGAGTTTGTTGACTTGTTTAGAGAGTCCAAATGGCTAACGGTATACAGATATACTATTTAGAGAACCATTAAAGAAGGGGTAAAAGATGACACATCTGAAGAAGGTGACAGTAGATCGTCCTCAGGAACAAGTAGAGGAACTGGTTGTCACAATAAAAGAGGAAGAGTTAATGGAAACAGTGCCAGTAGTGGGGAGGACAGTAAACGCAGTAATTATGCTTAAGGTTGAGTATTGTTTTTAGCTGGGTTAACTTGATATTTGGGGTAGGACTAACTTGATATTTGGGGTAGGACTAACTTGATATTTAGGGTTGTCCCATGTCAACCGCTTCAGCCTGGAAAAGTTTCTCATTTTACCATGGAATGATCTTACATGACATAATCTTGTCTACTTTTTAGTAGGATATGAGTTTGCTATCAACGAAGAAGCCCACATGCCAGATTTAAATGAAGAAAGAAGACAGACACCACCTCAGAAGAAGAAAAAGAAACAAAAGTAGGTTTAGATGAAAAAGTTCCAACATATTATATTGCATTGCATAATGGCTACTGCATAGCATCTGTCTTCACTAGTTCAATCAAGAACAAAAAAAGTATCATGTAGCACCCAATTTAATTGGTCCAATCAGGAACAGAAAAGTCAGTTGTAAAAGCCAATTTAACCCAATTTAATTGGTCCAATCAGGAACAGAAGTCGGATGTAAAATGTCAACAGAATTTTAACTTACTGTGATTCTTACTTTACTTGGATTACTTAAATCAACTTATTTCTTTGGATAAATTTATATTTAGTGTCAGTTTTATGTGAATATCTGGAACATTCGTTAAAAATGGCCATAGTACCAAGTGTAGCTAACAATCCTGTGTTAACTGGAAGACTAAATGTGTCTTCAAGTAACAATACTAGTAAGTGTGAAACCTCACAAACAAATTATACTTTAAATAAGAATCGATATTTAAAAAAACAAGTGGAGGCTAGCTACTTTCAGAGAACATTTCTCTGTAAAGAAAACAAAGGCAAAATTCTTTGATTTTCAAAAGGGGAATGTTAAATCTGACCTCTATCAAAGTTCAGTATATCTCAATGCTTTTAATATACAGTATTGGCTAGTGTCACCAAATGGAATCTCCCCATACGAACATCTGCAGGGGTTTACAGTATATACTACCAAGGAAATCAAGCTTACAGAACTGATAAAAATTTGAACAGCCATAAATCACAGAACAAGTAGGTGGTAATAGTTTTTGACTGAAACACTATAACAACCTTTAAATATGTTTATCCTCTCTTGATATATCCTTGTTTCCATGGATGTTCTATTTTGTTTTTCGTTTACTAATAATTTCAATGATGTCTAATTTCAAAATAGGCTTTAGGAATATCAATGGTCTTCATAGAAAATTGAATGATGTAGTTAGCATACATATTTCAGAAAAATTAGTGGATCATTCAGATATAGTCTGTGTCCAAGAAACTTGGATTAGCCAAGCTGAAATTGACTTGCATGTATATCATTATTCCCTATCAGGATATACAGGATTTGTCTTTGCTAGGAATAAATCACCTACCACAAACTCCAAATGGTATATCTTTTATCAATAATCTTGATGGCGATATTGTCTGGTTGAAAGTGAACAAAGATGTATTTAAAACCGACCGATCAAGATTTGTTTATATGCAATATTTACATTCCTTCAAATAATTCAGATATCTGATCAACAAAGTCTTATGACCCATTCACTATGCTGGAAACATACATCATTTACTACCAAAATCTTGGAAATATAATTTTAGGTGGCGATTTCAATGCTAGGAAACTAAAAATATAGAAAGTGAATACCCTATCTTTGCGTCAGAGAATAAATTTACCGGTACAGAAGTTACCAGTTTTGGTAGATAGATGCTTGATCAATCTATCTATCTCTCTGTTCCGATATTTGTATACTAAATGGTGGAACATAGGAGATTTTCTAGACTCACCAACACAAGTTTTTGCTATTATGGATGTAGTGTATTGGATTATATATTTCAATCAGTTATCTCAAAACGAACGTCTAATATTGTTACGTCTTATATTGGATGTTTGGCTGAAATTGGAGTTTTCCCTTTGTCGATTGATATATTCCAGCGTAAACTGTCGTGTCACAAACGTTTTATATTTGGCCTCACTAATAAACGTCTCATGGATGCATATAACATCGACTGTCATCTTTTGAAACATAAAACCAGCAAAACAAAAGTTATCTTTTTACTGATGCATTCGGGATATAACTAATTATTTTAATTTTCAATCATATAATATTTCCAAACATAAAATCAAATCTACAATGGAAAACAATTTTATCACCCTTTTTATACGCCCACATGCATTAACCCTATTAAAAACCTGAAAAATCGAAAAATATTTAGTATGAGTTATTGCCCTTTGCTCGTAAACACTCTAGAAGACGCAATTCTTGACGGGTTTTGATGAAACTTGGTGTGAGTGTTTGTTATCACTCAAGGATGATCCCTAATTAAAATCAAAAAGATCAAAAAATATTTAGTATGAGTTATTGCCCTTGTTCTTGAAAACGCTTTTAGCCTAAACACTCTAGAAGGAACAATTCTGGACGGATATTGCCGAAACTTGGTTTGAGTGTTTGTTGTCACTTAAGGATAAACCCTATTGAAAATCAGAAAAATCGAAAAATAATTTGACCCTTTTCTTGAAACTGCGTTCAATTTTTAGCATGTTCACACTCTAGAAGGCACAATTCTTGATGGATTTTGACGAAACTCAGTGTGAGTATGTAATCACCCAAAGATGAACGAAAATCAGAAAAAACGAAAAATATTATTGCCACTGTTCTTAAAAACGCGTTCAAGTTGTAGCCTGTAAACACTCTAGAAGGCCCAATTTTTGACAGATTTGGATGAAACTTGGTTATATTATTCGGTATTGCCTCAAAAATTGTTACTGTACTGCCAAATATTTTTATTTTTATTTAGTGTATATTACCTTGCCTGGCAAGCTATTTTTTTTAAAGAACCTGATATCGCATCGGCAAATTTAAACTGCGTGCGTAGTCAAAAGTTTAAAGGTCACAGAGTCACGTGATAGTAACAAAATGAAGGATACAGTGATGCCCAACACTAATTTACAGTCATCGCAAAGGCCATTTATATTACCGGTATGTTACAAAATCTTTCGAGGTGTGGAAAAGTCCGATTAATCAGTGACTATTTTTGCTGACTCTACTCCACCCAACAACTGTCATTCATATTATCCATCAGATAGAGGCAAATGTTTCGGACTAAGAAGTCGTTAGTCATCTTTAGGCTTGAATTTTTCACAAATAACCCGACAATCATAGTTACAATCGACGTCATTCCATTTAAAAGAAAATATCTCATGTAGCGTTACGCACATCTCATCATTGCTGCTTGGCTCACCGGATGCAAAGTCAGTGAAGTCCACTGGGGTATTATCAGACCATAATAACGTGCCGGTATCATTTCGGGCTGCGATAAAAAATTGGTCCCAAGCGTCTGAAAGGAAAGTATAACAAAAGTTAAGTTAAAATTGCAATATCAATAAATAAACCAACTGATGGTACTTCTCTTTGGAGGAAACGATACTACCTTTACTCCCTATTTGCCATTCTTTGAACGAAACTTTTGATTTACGGAATTGTCTTGTTTGTACGAACACAAAACGAAACCCAAATCCTTGCAACCCCCACCCCCTCATCCCAAATTTGGAAACAGGCCTTAAACCAACAAAGATGGTAACTTACATGTACCATGCTGTTCATCCAGTAGATAGTTCTTGATGTGGTTGTACTTCTCTTCGGTTTTGACCATCAACATAGTCGCCGAATAGTAAAGACAGAGGTCTATGGATTGTTCATAGTCTAGGTAATATGTGAGGTTGTAGTATTTATAACACGAATCTTCTTGACGATACAGGTTGTGTTGATCCCCAGGTAAACACCAATCTGAAATAGGGTTCAATTTACATTGTAAAATTTGATTAGCGATGTAAAACGCTTAGTTTAAGTAGAATTGCAGGGACCAAAGACGTCAGATTGAAAACTGGAATGATGCAAGTTGGTGCTATCGGTGTCCCCGATACACATACAAAATTTATATGTTTCTAAAGAACGAACGCTTAGAAAAAACGTACAATTAAAACCCCAAACTTTCGCTCCGTCTTATTAGCTTTTACTTTTAATGCAGCCACTTTAGTTAAGATCTAACGACTGGCCTCTTCAACGTTCGTTGAACTTTTGACCTAACCCGATAAACACTGAGTCATAAAATACCAGTGCTGGAGACGGTAGAAATTCGATTCATTAAAGCAGACGTCATCGAGTTAGGTCGAAAGATTAATTTGTTGAACGTTCAAGAGGGCTGTCGTTAGGCCCTAACTGACTATATTAAAAATAAAAGCTAATAAAAAAACTAACGAAAGTTTGGTCTAAGTTTAGTTAAACTAAATAAAACCCATACCTTCGTAAAGTTGATAATAAGACGTTTCCGGAGACGCCGTCGTCAACTGTTGACTATAGAAGACTATAGAATGCAACTGACAGAGTCTAGTGGTGCGAACATAGAAATACGAAACACATCGAATATCGCCCATACACAACAAACTACATGCAGTCACTGAGGCTGTATCGGATGCTAATAGCAAACTTGACTCTTTTATTTTGTCTTCAAAATCTGGTCTTCGCTTGGCTCTGGTTTGACGAAAGTTCGTTGCTGATGTCGTACTCAGAACTATACAAAGAAGAATGATAAAGTACATCGTCATGTCCTAAACGGGGCTAAATTCACTGTAGAAATAGTAAGATATTATATTGTGAATAGCCAAAAGCACAGGGGTAAAGCGTGGTACGCAGTATATGAATAATTGTTCAGGAACAACTCTTACTTCAAAGAACACCATGTACGACAAATATGAATTGTTGACTAACAACTCTTACTGTAAAGAGTACGATATGAGCAGTAAAGTTTAAATTGTTCAGGAACAACTTAAATAATATAAGTAAATTTGTTCAGGAACAACTCTTATTGTAGAGAGCACGATATAAGTAACAAAGTTTAAATTGTTCAGCAACAACTTAAAGTAACATAAGTAAATTTGTTCACGAACAACTCTTATTGTAGAGAGCACGATATGAGTAACAAAGTTTAAATTGTTCAGCAACAACTTAAAGTAACATAAGTAAATTTGTTCACGAACAACTCTTACTGTAAAGAGCACGATATGAGTAACAAAGTATAAATTGTTCAGGAACAACTTAAATAATATAAGTAAATTTGTTCAGGAACAACTCTTATTGTAAAGAGCACGTTATGATTAACAAAGTAGAAATTGTTCAGGAACAACTCTCACTGTAAAGAACACGATGTACAAGAAAATATAAATTGTTCAGGGACAACTCTTACTTTAAAGAGCACGATATGAGTAACAAAGCATAAATTGTTCACGAACAACTCTTTCAGTAAAGAACACGACAAACGACGACGAATAAAAATGAATAAACTGTTCAGGAACAACGCTCACTGTAAAGAAAACGATATAAGTAACAAAGTATAAATTGTTCAGCAACAACTTAAAGTAACATAAGTAAACTTGTTCACGAACAACTCTTTCAGTGAAGAACACGATACGAGTAACAATGTATAAGCTGCTCAGAAACAATTCTTAATGTAAAGAACACGATATGAGTAACAAAGTATAAGCTGTTCACGAACAACTCTTACTGTGAAGAGCACGATATGAGTAACAAAGTATAAGCTGTTCAGCAACAACTCTCAACTAATGGTTAAGCCAACAAATTGATAACAAAAACTTTATAATTTTCTATAGAATGAATGCAGTCTAGCAACTCTCCTCATATTTTCCAAAATCAGACAGTAATATTCTTCAATGACTTTATATAGTTTTAATGATGTCGAAATTCATTAACGCAGGCACTGAAACATGCTTTGATTTTAATTAAAGAACCGCCCCTTTCACAGATTCCAAATATCCACTATTTTTTACAAAGCGTTCCATTAAAGATTTATCCTGGATTCCTTTAGGCCTTGATTAACAGAATGCCTTTCATTCACAATGTTATCAAAGTCAAGTCACAAAAATCGAATCGACTAGATTCCAACCATCAGTTAACGCCTGAGAATAGATTTTTAGCTTCTTTAAAGGTATACTACCTCTTAGAATGATCGGAAAATTGAAATTTTAAAACTTGGCCAAACGAGTTTTTGTTCATCAATGGACTTAACTGATTTAATAACTATACAACAGAATCTCTCTTTAATCCAATAAATCTATAAAATTAAGTAATAATTCAATAAACTAAGTTATTTTGAAACATGCTTAGAAGCGTTTTTCAATAATTATTTAGTTTAATGGATATATCGTCTTATATTGAGATTCTATTCTTCTTTAGTATAATAGAGGTAGTATTCCTTTAAAGACATTATCAAAATTAATTTGATTTTAAATCAACTATAACGCAGCTCCACTGGGGCTATATGCTTTGCTCTCCCGCTAAAAAATCACATTATATGAAATCACAATGATGCGATAAAAATATATGGTTACATTGATTTTTAATCCAAACATGCAATTAAAGGAGTTCATTCTTTTAATATCACATTAGGTGTTTGTAAATAACCCTGTCTGGCTCTACCACAAACATAATTCGATTTCCCCCTGTCAGTGATGCAGGTAAGAGGGGCTGTCATGGAAAAAGCGTCTAGTCTTTCAGATAGGACAATAAACCAAGGTCCTGTGTGCTACAAGCTGTGTACGTTAAAGATCCTTTGACAGTTGTAGTTGAAAAGGAGCAGGTAATACCGCGGTCCTGGCAAAATTTCCCTCATTGCACACCGCATGGCATTCATTAATCCAATAAGGTGCAGAAGAGTAGGACGTAAAACTCCATTCATTTAAATTCTCTTTTATTCTCAAAGTGTAGCAATCCCTTTAAAGATAGGTTTCCTTATTTTGTTAGTGTCAAATTAAGGAAACTATTTGATTAATTGATGTTTCTAATGAATTATTACGTATTCTTAATCATATCATTATGTTCTTATTGCGCATAATTAAGGGTTTTAACTAATCATAAATGTCTATGTTTGTACAGTCTGGATAAACAAAAACAGACTTTTTGACCTTTTTCGATCGGTCATTCATTGGAATTCTGATGGTAATTCTCTTCTAATTTAGCTAATTATGAACAACTAATTATGGTCATGTGAGATAAACTGGTATTTTTTTCTATTCATATAAGTATTAGCATTTTCATTTTCATAAATGAAATAAGGGAACATATGTTTAAGGCCGATGTTTCATTACAATAAACACTACCATTAAAGTGATATTTTATAATTGGCTTTAATTAAATGTTTTAACTATCCATAAAACATGATCATATTATTCACCTTGGGCAAAATTTGATCAGATATGGCCATGGAACAAGTAAGGTTTCTCTGATGTCGGCAAAAATCGACATCTCCGTTCAACCAAGCTAAAGAATAATTGTTGAGTGGATTAAAAGATTTGGGATTAGATATTTCACGATAATTTGAAAGCTATTTTTGTTTACGTTTACTTAAGTTAATTTGTAATGTTACAAAGGTAAATTTTTTTCCCATTTTCTGAGGAAATAGAAAAAGGTTTATTGCAGTGCGTTCTTGGAACGCACCGCATTGTTTTGCAAATGACTATTTTTTTTTTTTTTTTTTTTTTGTCTACTTCTGGTCAGCCAAAACTGCACATGTCACACATTGTCTGACACTATTATTTCTTATACTTTGCGTGTCGCTACTGTTTAAATGTAAAATGACGCATTTTCTTTCAACCGGAAATGACGTATGACGTTAACCATTCTTTACGTATTTCGAATTACTGCTCTAATTCTGCATCTATTTTGACCGTAACTTTTGTTTTGTTCATTACTTTAAACCAATGACTAAAAGATAGCACTTTATAAAATTTCAGATTTAGACTTTTGTCGCTGACTTTTTTTGTTTTAATTTTAGCGTTTTTTTTTCAACTTCTACAATTTTATTTCAATCGGTCTAAGAATTTAATAGTTGATATGCATTTTGATTCCTGACAAAAATCTATTTTCAAAATTTCGATATCACTTCCAGTTTTGAGGTCATTCGCCTCTAAACTTGAAATTTCAACTTCCGGAATTTTGTCGGTATTTGAAAAATTCTTTTTGAAATTAGTTAAAATTGTCCCTATAACAATGAAAAAAATTGAACCGGAAGTAACGTGTTAGACGCCATCTTGATGTGACCAATTTTTGTAAAAATCGATATTAAGCTTCAGGGGTAAATCTGATTTGTGTGATTTTGGTGTCTAAAGAATCTGTAATCGATTGCTAACAAAACGTAGGAAGCCGATTTTTGAATTTTGGATTCGCATTTTTTTTATTTCCGGTTTTATGTTTTCAGTAATTGTCAAAAATATTAAGGCTCATATCTAGTGACTTTGACCTTTGGTGACCTTGTGACCTGAACAAAAGTTGTTGCCCCTGACGAGACATATCCGATGATATCCTCACTTTTGTTGTGCATCGTTAACTTCCGGTTCTACAGCCATTGGAAAATCACGATTTTTAACTTTGAAGAGCTCTGTCACGTGACCTAATTAACATACGACAAAAATTATTATATATTCTTAGAGTGCATAAAATCTCCTTTTTGGTGATATATCACACTTGATATTTTGATCAAAATTGCGCGTTTTAAAAATCGAAAATTTTGTACTGACTTCTATAGTAACTGTGCGTAAAATCACGGTGTCTATAATTTACCGACAGTTTAACTACGAATATCTCATGATCTAATGATTGTAAAGACTTGAAATTTTGAACATTATTTAACAATGTACACATCATCACAGACAAATTAAAATTTTTGAAGTGGACGTGGCACATCCGGTGTGCATTTACCTTTACCTGAAATATGTGCAATTGGTATAACTCTCATGGTTTTTAATTGTCACCCTAGAAATTTTGCATGAAAATAGATCACTGCTTAGGACAATTTGTGATAAGATTACAGTTGTTTGCATTCTTTACTTTAAAAAAGGGAATAGGTTTAACAATTTTATAAATTTTCATTTTTGATCTTTAGCATGAATTACCTTGACCTTTGCATGGTCACAGGTCATTGACTAAGGATGACCATTCTTACTTTGATCTTTGATGTCCGATATATACTTCCGGTTTTGCAGACGTCCAAAACAGCAATTTTCGAAACTTCAAAGGCTCATATTACTTTTATTTGACATTTGTTGACCTTTTGACCTGAACAAAAGTTGTTGCCCCTTACGAGATATATCCGATAATATCTTCACTTTTGTTGTGCATTGCTAACTTCCGGTTCTACAGCAATTTGAAAATCGCGATTTTTAACTTTGAAGAGCTTTGTCACGTGACCTAATTAACATATAACAAAATTTCTTATATATTCTTAGAGTGCACGATCTCTCCTTTTTGGCGATATATCACACTTGATATTTTGATCAAAATTGCGCGTTTTAAAAATTGAAAATTTTGTACTGACTTCTATAGTAACTGTGCGTAAAATCACTGTGTCTATAATTTACCGACAGTCACCGTTGCCCTAAAAAAAGTTTAACTACGAATATCTCATGATCTAATGATTGTAAAGACTTGAAATTTTGAACATTATTTAACAATGTAGACATTATCACAGACAAATTAAAATTTTTGAAGTGGGCGTGGCACATCCGGTGGGCATTTACCTTTACCTGAAATATTT